TTCTCTGGCAATCTCCTCAACGCAGTAAAGTTTGGCTCAGACTCTCCATGATCCCTAGTTCTGCTTGATCTTGGGCTCTGAATTTCCATGAAATGCCTAGTACCCCAGGCATGTGAGGTCCAGGAACTTGCCTGGCTTTTTTGTCTTGGACACACTAAAAGCAACCTCTAATGCAAAATGTTCCAAACTGTGATCATTATTTTTTTCTCCCTCCATACACAATGTCCCTTTCCATTCACTTCCCTGATTGGTGGTATTGCCCTCCCTCTTAATGGATGGAACCAGAAACAGTGGCTTTTTCTTACGTTTCTACTTCTTCTTTGCCTCATTCTCCACATCCGCTTAATCACCACTTGTTGATAATTCTCACCCACTCCTGTTTCTGCTACTAATTTACACTGTCCTCTTCCTCCTATACTACTTAAAAATCCTCCTTTCTGATTGGCTCCCCCTGCCTCCAGCCATTTCTCACTCCTCGTTCCGCCTGTGCACATTACAGCTAGGATGAGGAAAAGCTATCCAAGGCTCCCTGTTCCCTCCAGATAAAGTTCCTTTTCTTTACTGAGGCCTGAAAGGCTCTCTCACCTCACTCCTGAGGCCCAGCTCATATCTTTTGTTCTACCCAATGTTCCATTCCCTTCAATGCTTTGATGATGCTAAAGGTCTTGGGTTTTCTAAGCAAACCAAGTTGTCTCATGCCTGTGCTTTGCACATGTTCTTCACTATGAAGCCCCCTCCCCAGTCCAGCTGGGAGATACCTAGTCTTCCCTCATAGGCCATTAGGCTTCATGTTTTTGTGTGTCTCTCCCACCCATAAAATCCACAAGATAGTCTGATCTTATTGTCCTTCTAGGTCATTTTCTTGTATTTTATTTCCTTCTCAGCCCATTGTATTCTGGCTTCTACTTTCTCTATTCCTCTGAAAGTGCTGTTACTAAAACTAAACATGACTGTTACTTTTATATTTAAATCCAGTGCATCTTTTTTGGAGCTTAGCTCATTTGGACCGACTGCTGTGCTTGAAGCTGTGGGTTATGCCCTTGTCTTGGAGTTCTCACTATACTGTTTGGCTGTGGGATCCTGACACTGTCCTGCTTTTCCTCCTCCTCCTCTCTAACAAGTTCAAGTCTAATCTTCTTCTGTCTACTCTGTTTACACTCTGAGCCCGCCTGCTTACTCACCTTCTTGATCTTATCCATTCCATAAATCTTGGACTCATCCAACAGCCCACTAAACTTCTCCATCTGAGATCAGATAAAAGCCTGCAATCCAACACACTCAAAACTGAACTCATCTTTCCCTTCTAATGTCTGCTTTGCTCTTTTCTTTCTTTAGTAAGTAGACAAAATTCCTGTCCAATCATGCAACATAGAAACTTGAGATTTCCCTCGATTCCTTTATTGCATGCTTACCATCAAAAGTCTAGTGTCCATCTCTTATCATATATCAAATGTTTTAAAATATCTTTCCTTGATCCTACCTGCACTGTTTTTTTCTCTTTTATCATCACACATATTAGAAGAGTAGGCTACGCTTGCCACTTCAATCCCCTCACCTTCTACTTAAGAGGGAAGTGGGTGAGTAAGCTAATTACAGACAAGAAGAAATGTCCACACGTACCACAGAAATTAAAGATATTCAATGTAGTGATTACCCAGAACATAAAGGGAAGAATCCTGTCTAGGGTGAAGCTGGTAGGGCAAGGAAACCCAAGGTAATGAAGGTACTTGTGCACCAACACAAGGACCTCCTACAATAAGCAGTGGGAAGTCTGTTTTCAGCAAGAGGGTGATAGAATTGAACCTGTATTAGGAAGAACCATCCTGCCTGCATTGTGAAGGATAAAATAAAAAGAAAAGGCCAGGGCACATGGGGTGTTTAGGAGCTGTTGCCAAAATCCCTGGGAGCAGTCACGTTGGTCTTCCCACGTTCTTTGTTAACGAACGAAGAAAGGTGTACTAACTCTAAGCACACGTTCATTTTGGCATGTCTGTATTGAAATCCCAGGTAGCCTAGGAAAGACGGTGGCAGCAGAGCCTCCGGTCAGGTGTGACTATCTCAGGCTTCCCGCCGTAGCCGGTGTCCCAGGCCCCGCACTCTTCTAAGGACAGAACTACCAGCCATCTCCCTCTCCTTGAAATGTCCTTCGTTTTCAAGAAGCAGCTCAAATACAACTTCTTCCTAAAGAGATCCTTGCTTCCCAAGAGAAGTATTGCTCTCCTTCTGTGTGTTCCATGGATTTTGTAGGTAAATTCAAATATTGTGTAAAAGGCTCTGCTCCATAAACCAGTGTCTGCAGGTCTGTCTTCTCTCTTGGGAAACTGTCTTGTTCATCTGCACACCCCAGATCTTGCCTAGTAAGTTGAGATATTTAATCCTTGAAATGTATGTATCGCATGGTTTGACTACAACACGTTATTTTTTAAAAGCCAGATCTATTATTCAACAGGGGGAATGACACTTTTATGGAGAAAAATATAAGACAGTTGAAATCACTTTGCGCCTTCCTCATGCTTCCAGGGCTCCTGCCCTCAGTTGCAGCTCTGAGTCAAGCAGACAGCTATTCTTTGTGTCTGAGAAAGGCTTAGCTAATACTTTCTTGTGTGCAGAGGAGGGAGATAGGACTTAATAAATAATATTGTGTAACTAGAGTCGGTGAACAGCGTTCTGAAAAGTGCTCAGTAATCTGGGATCTTTCTATAAACGGGGCTTACTTTGGATAAGCAGCTTACGTCACACGACAGATAAGAAAATTGCTACTAAGAGTGATGGTCTAATTTACAACCTTTACCTTCAAGGACTTATTGGAGCTGAATTATGCTCCTAAGTAAAGAAATGCTAAGCTAGTGACTAAATGAGATTTATGTTTCCTGCCAATCTTTTGCCTTTAAAGGATGTAATTTTATTTATATGTTCCCAGACCCAGAAGAGTTATGTGTAGTACTTTAAGCTGATTATTGCCAATGTAACATTGGATTTGTGACATGGCTTCTCTGCAGTAGGGCAACATTTGAAATAGGTATTAATTTTCAAGTGTCAAATGAGTTTTTAATGTGTGTGAGCCTCATAAAACCTGAATATCAACTAAAACGTATAACTTTAAAATGTAACCAGTAGCCTTAAAGGAGTTGTGACTCTTTATACCTTTTTCCTTTTTATCCAAAACCTTGCCTTTCCGTGAGCAAATTAATACTTGACTGAAGGTTTGCTGAAAACAAGTAATATTTGAAAGTGCTAAGAATCCTAGCGATGGACCCACGCTTTCATGGCTATGTGACCCCGTTGCTCTTTCCACCAGACAGAGCATGGAGCACGCGATATGATGGATGTCAAATGTGGGTTCATAATTCACCACAGTTAGAAAGACTTAGCATGATGCATTTTCCAACTCAAGGCAAATGCCCGAGCAGATCAACATCGTATTCAGTAGAGTCACCACCCTTATAATGGAGTGTTTTCTTCAGTAGATTCAGTGAATCAGAGTAAGGGCTGGGTTCTAATTATTTCTTATTGTAATGGCAGAGGGTGTGCCTATGGCAGTGAAAGGGGTATAAATCAAATTTGTGTCCTCTTCTGTAGAATGTGTGTGGATGTGCACACGTGTGTGGATGTGTGTATGAGACAGAGAGAGGAGGAGGGAGAGAGACTGAGAGAAAGGTGAGTCTATAGAGAATTTTATCTTTAGGTATTAAAAATGGTTTAAATTTTCTCAAGTGTTACACCAGGAAGAGAGTGTTATTGGAAAAACAAGTACTTCTTTGGGTTAAGATTATGATAATGTATTTTAATGAATGGGTTTCCTATCATTAATGCCTTAAGCAGAATATGAAGCAAACATTTAATGAAGTCAAATCATTTCTTCAAACTAACAATGAAACTTTGCTTATATCTGTTTATAATGGAAAACAGCAGTAGATATTTTAGGCTTTTCAGAAAAAAAAAACAGTTCATTGAGAGTTTTCCATGAATAAATGATTTCCTTCCTCCCCCTCCCCGTGTCTAAATTCACCGCCAAAATATTCGGGGCTGGACACCTGGGGCACTTGCTTCCTCCGTGGGCACAGGCCTCCTTCTCATTTCCTACACCGTCGTCGGCCCAATCAGTCCCATCTGTGACTGTCAGAAGCCACACTCAAAGTGAGAAGTCAAACTCAAAGAGAGAGATTTGGCCTTGATGTCCGCAGCTTCACCTCCTGCTCCACTGAACCCACTCCACGGTGCCCCTCTAAAGCTCCGCTCTGTCAAGGAGTGGGGGCCCTCTTGATCTGCCTGTAACGGCTCACGAAGCCTCAGATAGTTTTCGGACATTTAGGGCTTGTTGTGAGTTTTATTGCACTGGTACTTTTCCAAGGCCGTCGCGTTGTATGCAAGTTCTGATTGGGGCATGAATGGCTCTGCCTCCCGTTATAGGATTTCCAGGCCGTCAGGGTGCAGGAAGGAAGCAATGGTTCCTTCCCGGGCCCTCAGAAGCCAGACCACCCAGCCCTGTGCTGACTCCCAGGCGTTCTGTGGACATTCGGGGCGATGCAATCTAGGACCACAGGAAGTGATTTTCTCCTTTAACTTCTCCCCCGTCTATATTTCTTTGGATAACCTCGATATAGCCTCTCTGTGATCTGAACTTACATGAAAAATTACCCGTAAATTTGGACTCTTCTAAGCTTTTCTTAGAAAGAAACTCTCCTTTGGTTCTATGTGTTCCCATTATTGAAACTTAGCTCTATGCGGCAAAACCAGTCATTAGACCCAACGTGATCCCCATTCCAAGGTCTTTTCTCTTGTTTTCAAAATATATGTGCACACAGTTTTTATGGGTTTCACCTCTGTTACTGTTGGGCACACGATTCTGCTGAAGCCACAGTTATTTTGCAAGTCAGCGAGGACTTCTCCAGCACTGGGTTGGAGTTACGTTGGTAACTTTGCTCTAAATTCCCCTTTTCATGGAAAAAAAACATGGATGGGAGGCAAAGGAGCATAAATCTTGCGAGCCGCTTCGCCGAGGCCGGCCAGAACGAGCCGTAAATGAAGACACTGCACACTGCTGGCATCTGTAGTCTTCTCACTCGGCTTTCAACAAGTAGTAGCCGGCCAGAGAGCACTGGAAGGTAAAGGGATCAACCAGTTGTTAATCCAGTTGTGACTTCGGTTTGGGGTTCATTTCTTCAAACGGCCGAGTTGCGTGTCGTTCTGTGATTGAGTGCCTTTGTCCTGACAGAGCTTTTCATTTTGTACCTTTCACCATTGTTTTTGGCCCCGGACCAAGCCTCACATCTCGCCCTGGAATTCCTTTCTGCAGGCTCCGCGGCAGGCGCAGGCCTCCGGGTAACCCGAGCTGCCTCCGCTTCCCAGCAGACAGCACATTAAAGCGAGGCCTGCGGGCCAGCTGCGGAGACAGGTGTTCTTCTCCTTTAATTGACACCCACCCCCCCCCACCCCCACCCCTACCCCTACTTTCTTGGTCCCAAGAATTCCTCTTCCTGGGTTGTTCACAAATGCTGAAGGAATCGGGCAGGTTTTATCCACGGTCGAGCCCGGGATTAAAATGCCTCACCTGCTCCGTAGCTTAGCATTGTGAACACGATTTCCAGATGGAGCGCGCCCTTATGTCGTTGTTTTTGCTGGTTCCCGGGGAAAGAGCCAGAGGCCAGGCGGCCGCTCGCAGGTCCACCGCGCAGAGTGTTTACCTACTCGGATTCCGTCTCGGCTCTTTGCAGAAGGCTGACGCAGGCCGCTTTCCGGGAAACTGGAGAAGTCAAGGGCACGCTGCTGCGATTATTGTCTGTTTTTCAGCCATCGAGCGCGGCCCTGAAAACCTGAACGGGGTTAGTCCTATCAAATTTAATGTTGGTAGGACTAATCCGGATCCACTTTTTCACAACTCTATTATACAGATGAAAAGGGTCAAATATCATCGTGTTTGCTTCAGACTGTGCTGCTGCTGCTGCTGCTTAAAATATGCCTTTGGAGGGTGCGAAGCTTTTCACTGGGGAACAGGCTGAGCCAGGTGTCGAGATGTGGTCTGTCGAGTGTCCATCCCCATGAGCCATCATTCCCTCTGCCTGATCTAAAATTTAGGTATAAAAATCCCTCTTTGAGATGTCAGAATTTTTTGCACAAGCCACACCCTGCACGCAACCCCCTGGGACTTCTCGAAAATGCTTGGATCCCTCTGCTTTTTCTCTTCTTTGCAGGATCTGGGGCGAATACGAATACTTTTTTTTTTCAGAATTAAAGTCCGTTTAATACAAATTAATATTATAAATCATTAGTGTCAGATATTACTTTTTCAATGTAGGTGATACTCTATATTAAGTGAAAACTATATATCGTTGACACGGTGAGTTAACAGCATTCCTTTCTAAGATTCAGAATTGTCTCTTTGAAGATGTTCTGATGTCACATGGGTCACATAGAAGAGAATATGCTGCTTTCCATCTTCCTGTCTTCCAGGATTCCTGGAAGCTGGTCCTTAGGGAAAATGGCACAGTCCTCATTTCAGTGCCCTAAGGCGGCCAGCATCTTTAGACCCTCCCTTCCTCCCTCCTTCCCTCCCTCCTTCCCTCCCTCCCTCCCTCTCTCCCTCCCTCCCTCTCTCCCTCCTTCCCTCCCTCCCTCCCTTCCTTCCTTCCTTCCTTCCTTCCTTCCTTCCTTCCTTCCTTCCTTCCTTCCTTCCTTCCAACAGGAAATCAGACAAGCCAAGATGGTAGCACAACTTGGGAGCAAGACTCTGTAAGTGACCTCACCATACTGTCACTTACGGCTTTTTGAGAACACCTGTGTCTCCATTATGTCTGTAAACCCTGTGCTGCCTCAAAGCGCCCTGCATCCGGGCCGTAAACGCTACCGGGCACGCTCTGAGCACTCTGAGTTCTGCTGTCTTGGTGGTGTGCACGCAACATGTCCTCTGCCTGTGCTGGGTGTCAGGTCCTCTCTTCCCTTTCTTCACCGGGTTCATCCCTATTTTTCTCGCAGTCCTAAGATCAGGCCTCTTCTCATTAGAGAAAACGTCTCAGACTTTCCTAAGCAGAACTGGACCTTTCCTCCTCTCTTGTTCTTCTTCAGCGGGGCGTGCCTCTCATGATTTGTGTTCTGATCTTTGTGTGCTCTGCATGATCTGTGTGAAGTGTCTCACTAGATCGTTGTTTCCTTGAGGATACGGACAACATCTTATTCATGTTCCTTCACACCCTTTGACCTATCTCCCATGCTGCTGCCTATCACAGTCTTGGATACACAGTAGGTGCTCAGTGAATACCGGATAAATGAATAAGTAAGGATGTGAGTGAATAAAGCCATCCTTACAGTTGACCTTAAAAGGTTTGGGAAGACAATCCAGTCTCTGCATCTGTGAAGGGGACAGTGAATGAGGGAGACGGAGAAGGAATGCTTCTAACTTCAGCTGCTTGTTTTCTGGAACTTAGCACCAACTAGCTAGAAGAGACCAGGCATACCTTTCACCTAACTCTTTCCTTTGTATCTATTCATTGTCACTCTGTTCAGGAAGGTCACATGATAAGTATGGCATGTGGCACATTCATAGTGTGGCATCGTACTGCCCCGACAACTGGTGAGCCTGGTCCATTTTATACAGAGTGTTTCCAATTTACAAGTAAAAGATTCACCTTTGCTTCAAAATACAATGAGGAATAATGCATTTTTTTTTAGTTTTAAAATGTTAATTTTTTTCTTTGACATTTTCCCTGCTGTGAGGAAAGTAGTTATTTCAGATTGCCCAGCTCTCTTGTGCTGGCCTGTGCCACCTTCCTTCTCCCTCCGCTCACCTCACAAAGCCATGGGTAGGCAGTTTCAGACACGATCTAGCCCTGACCTGTATGGCTCAGTGGGTTGGGCACTGTCCCACAAAGAGAAAGGCCGCTGGTTCGATTCCCAGTGAGGGCTCATGCCTGGGTTGCAGGCTGACCACCCGTTGGGGCGCATGGGAGTGGCGACCAATTGATGTTTCACTTACACATTGATGTTTTTCTTCCTCTCTTTCTCCCTCCCTTCTCTCTCTAAGAATAAATAAATAAAATCTTTAAAAAATCATCTCGGGAGATGCTGTAAAATCCCAGTTTCACAGGGGAAGAAGCGGGGGCTCTGAGAGGTTAGGCAGCTTGCCCAAAGGGGACACAGCTGGTCAGCAGCAAAGCAGGGACCCAAGGCCATTCGAGCCCAGAATCTGTGCTCTTAGCTGCCACCATGAACTGCCTCTCCTTTAGGAGTCAGCGCTACTGCAGGAAGGAAAAGTTATTTATAGGGGAAAAACACTGAGCAGCTAATTTAAAGAATCCCTTAGTAATACCGCACAAAAGAGAAGAAAAAACATAATAATTTCACTTAGCTCCAGCCCCGGGTAAACTTTTGATTGCTCACGCAAGTTGTAGTTCAACCCAAATAAGTATTTCCTGAAGTAATTAGCTCTGTAATGTGGTAATAATTTCTGACCCGCTCAATGCATGCAGAGGGTTATGGCACATGCCCTAAATGCCTGAGAAATTTAAGTCAAGAAATACACAGTAAAACTATTTTGTTGTTTGTATTGTTTGACGCTGTCATCCTGCTTGAAAAAATATTTAAAGTTTACAGCTATCCACAAATCATATTTTCTCCCTAGAAATCAGAGATGACAAACAAAAATTAGCTGTCAGAAAAGCCAGAAATAAAGGCGATAGGTTTTTCTTATTTTTAAGTAAGACCTGGGAAGAAAGGCTCCCGGGGTGAGTGAAATCAGGTAATCCCGCATTTCTTATTCCGGTGCCTATTGAGATGTCCATCTTGAGTGTGGCCCTTGGTACAGTGTGCATGGTAAAGTGCGCCTTGTGGGGAGGTTCTGGAATAAGATCTAGGAGGAATTTTCATTTAAGCTGAAGGGAAGACATAAAAGGCAGGGTTCTGGGCAGCTCGGAAGTCCGGCAATGATGGATTTACTCCATGTGTGAAAGAGTGGAGTGAGTGCCCTTCCCGCAGGTGACTCATGCATCGATTTATTAAGACAGTCCGACAAGTTATATTTCACTACCTGCGCGAATATAGTCATAAATGCCTAAGTTGGGAGCCCACACATTAAACATGGACCCTCCAATGCCCACCAAGTGAGGTTTTAACATCTATTTCTCTCATAATTTTCTAAGAAAATAATAGTGGGCCTAATGTGAATAGAATGGTGTTTTTATTTTTACATTCTAAATTCTAAATTTAGATCTGTCTAAAGTTGGTCAAGTATTAATTTACAGGGGAATTATTATACGCCTTCTTGGAATGGGCCTCTCTCAGTCTGGAGTGTGAAATGCACCCATTTCTGACGGAATCCCTTTAGTAATAATCTCTCACTTTATGAGATTCCACGGCACCATTGTTTGACTGAATCAATTACCTTCACGTGGAGAGCCTAATTTCCCATAGTCATATTTCTTAAAGATTTTTCAGGAGCAGTTTTGTAAAACTATCAAATTCATTATTTTACTGATGACCGTAATTGTACCTGAACTGTCTTAAAAGTGCCTCTTTTCATTAAAAAAAAAAAAGAAAGTCACAGCAGTTAAAAAGGCATCTATTATATAACTCCCTGGCACGGATCCCTCTCCTGCAAACTAACTCAAGTTTTCAGGAAGCTTGAATTCCTTCAATTCCATCTTAATGCCATTATTTCTCCTTCTGTTTCAGTGGCAACAAAGAACAGCTGGCCACCATCCTCTGTGATAATAACCTTTATATAGTTGAAACTTGAATGGTTTTGGACACGGTACTTATGGAAACATCTTCTTGCAGATGATGTAGCCTATTTGGTATTTCCCCCTGTAAATAGCTAGATTTCTTATAGCCAGCCCTTCCAGCGACTATCAAATTTTAGCTCTGTTTAGTATAATGCAAGCATTTTCTGCCTCAGCTACTCAGGAATGTCTTCCGAGGAGGTCTCACAATCAAATTTATTGTGTTTAATTTATGACACAACATGTAAGAAGAATGGAATGCCTTTCTGTGAGGATTTGCATTGACAATGAAAGGTTACCATAGTGCCAGTCTGCCTTTACCAAATTTGCCAAATTCTGAAGGGAATGCCAATTAGAAGGCAGCAGAGCTTTTCTCCCTGCAACAGATTGAGACC